GGGAGGGGGAGGGCGGGAGGGGGAGGGGCGCGCGGAGTGGGACTCTTTCCGTTTGGTCCAGCCCTGCCGAGCACGCAGTTCCCAACACTTCTCGTCATCCCCTCTCTCCTCTCTCTCTCCTCTCTCTCTCTCTCTCTCTCTCTCTCTCTCCCTCTCTCCCTCTCTCCCTCTCTCCCCCCTCCTCTCTTTATTCTGCTGAGCGGTGCTGTTAGGATTTCTTCTTCTTCTTCTTCTTTTTAAAACCCTGGCCACGTTCATGATGGTGGGTAGCAGCAAGGTGTCCCTGGCAGGGGAGGGTTTGGGCACCGGCCTGGAGAATGTCTCCTTTCAACTTTGTTGGTGGCTGTGCACCCCGGTGAAGGGAGGAGGCCGGACTCGCCGGTGGTGGAGGGTTGTAAAATGTGCCGAGAGTGATTTCCAAGTAGTTGAGTTGTGGAGGGAGATGCGGGTACGACTGACTTGCTGCATGGCAGGCAGGTTTTGTTTTCATTGGTGAATCCGGTGTCATCATATTCCGGTCATATGTTGAAATAATTCTTTGTTTAGGGCTTGGAAGTAGAGGATCTCACCCTGCCCGTCCACACTGTGGTGGTGGTGGTGTTGTTGTTTTAAAATGATGTCTCTGGGAGGATGGATGTCGAGAATTTCAGGATGTGAGCTGAGATCCGGGCGTGTGTGGGCCTCATACTGGCCTTGACAGTGAACTTTGTGGCTGTGTTTCGGATTTCAAAGATTTTTTTTTCTTGCCCCATAGCTGGGGTGCAAGTTGTGCATTTTTCTTAATGGTAAGATCTCAGGAATGTAGATGCTTGAGCTGGGGGAAGTTAGGGAACATTTATACATTAATAATTGATGGCTGAATATTAGAATCAGATTAATTTGGGCTGATGAAAGTTTTTTTCCCCCCTTTTCTTTTTAAAGCAGTTGTGCACTCTAGGAAGGAAGCCTTTTCATAGACTTACTTTATAGGGGTTCTTTGAGGCGAGGAGCTGGGATACCATCTTTTAAAGAGAGTACCCACCAACATCAACATCTGCAGCTTTATGGAGGGCCTGGTATGGGGACTGAAATTGAGGGTAAGCCCTGTAAGCCTTCTTTTCAGTGTTTATGTTATTTGTTTACATTTGATGTTCACTCACGTTTGGGCAGAAGAAATAAATAGGTCAGCTGTTTTGTTTTGTTTTGAAGGCTAGCTCCCATCCCTCCTTCTCCCCACCCCCCAAAGTTTCACAATTTACTTGGTTTATATATAGTCTTGTAGAAAACCATTACTACATTTTTACTGGAAATACTATTACTCATTTTGAATTCGGTAAGTTATTTCTTACTCTCTTCTGTCTTCACTTGTATATGGAATCTGTGTTGTGGGCTAAACACTAGCTATTAAGGGCCATTTAAAATGTCTGAAGATTGAATTTTAAAATCTCAGGACATATTTTTTGACTGTAAAGAGGAAGTTTTTGTTTGTAGTTTTACTCATGTTTATTAAAAAAATTCTGTGCTTAAAACTTTGTAGATGCACAACTCTCCTTAAGAGAGGAACATATTAATAGTGTTGAAGAGTCTCAACACACAAACTAATATGTTAAAATATTCCAGGTGCTTTCTTTACATCACACTTTTGTTTTTGTTAACATTACTATTTGGAATTTGACTGGAAATGCTTGGCTGCCCATTATAAAGTCAGTTTATGTTTAAGTGTATTGGAAGGCATTTTAAACTTCAGTTTTTAGACAGGTTTATTTTAAGTATGTTGTGCTTTGGACACAGGCAAGTCTTTATTGAACTGAAATAGTAATAGATAAAAAGACCTATTGATGCCATATTTTATTTTTAAAGTGTTATAAATAATGGCTGGGGAGTTATTTATTTTAGTTTTGAAGGGTCCATCCTTTCTATTCAATTATCTTCTGCTTCCATGAAGATCCTTACATCCAGCAGGAGGTGCTACAGCAAGATAAAGGATTCTTTTTTTTTAATTTAAAATTTTTTTAAATTTAATTTTGAGAGTTTTGCTACTTGTGGAAGCTCTGCTTAGCTTTAAGCAACAGATTAAAGTTCCAGGAAGATTTTGAGTAAGTCCATTCTAAGTCTATTAATAAATTATGTTGCTATATGAAACTGCAGTTTTTGACTGCTTTTTTTTTTTCTTCCCTGTTTAATGATACTCTGTGAAGTAAATTTGTTATTGTGGATTACTTAAGGATGATGGGGTTAGGTACAAAGTACTGTTCAGTTATTTTTCTTTGAGGGAATGTTTGTCTGGTATTGATGAGTGGGTTAAAAATATGCCCCATTGTAATAAATAGAAATGGTGGTATGATTTGGGACCTTTAAGTTTTGTGATCATCCCTATAATAGATATAGAGTAGTAGAGATTTATGGAAAGAGGGATCTTATGTGGAAAAAATGGATGATTTTTTTTTTGTATGACCCGTCCCTCCCCTCTTGAATCTGTGGACAATGATTCTAATATAAAAGGTTTCTCAGACACTTAGCTTTATATACACCTATCTATTGATATATTTAAGTGGGCTTTCAAAGACAGATTTTTAAAATCTTAAGTAAAGTTGTAGTTAGTTATAAGTAATGTTACAGATCATTAATGATATATCTATTACTAACACTTAACAATAAAAAGGATGGTGGCCACGTTAACAGTTTCATAGCATTTATAGTACATGGTCCTTGGAACTGTGCTATTGTTGAGTGATCATCAGATACGTGCTGCTGTGCTTGCTTCTAAAGTTTTATATCAGAGTTTTAAAAACTTAGGATACATAAAAATTCAGCACACTTGCTCTGAATTATCTATTTGGTAGGCATAATATTGTACTTTTTTTCAGATGAAATTAGTAATACATGTAAAAGTTCTTTGAAAATTGCCAGAAGCCATGTAGATATTAAGTAGTTGAGACTGATAACCAATTAAAACACCAGCTGAGCTTCTATCTTGAAATGCTAACTTTCTCCAAATCAGTTGGGAAGTTAATGCATTAAATGTGTACTCTGGACATTTTATGAATTTTTTAAAAAATACTTCTGTGGTTACCAAAAATCTCTTTGTTATAGTTTGAAGCTTTTGTTTAAAAAATGCTGTGAAGGCAGTTTCCCATGATTCACAAAAAATAATTTTCTCTTTTGAAGATCTTGAAATTTGTATTCGTCATTATTATTATTATTATTATTACTATTATTATTTTTATTCCTTTCTCCATTGATGTGATAGCAGTTGATTTTAGTGATTATTTAAGTTCTTGAACTCTTCTGTAGACTCTTATTAACACACGGAGTAACAGATGTCATGGCTGAAGTTTTGATTGTTTTGATTGACTCTGCTAACTTTCTGAAAGATTCTCACTGACTAAAGCTCTTAAGCTTGTTTCATAGTGGTAATATATACATTTATATGCATACTAGGTTCATGAGTACATCATTTTTGTCCCTATTTTAGAATGATGCATGAGGAAATGACTACTCAAATCTAGAGGAATACACTGAAATGCTTTTATATAAAAATAACCCAAAAGTTAAAAGCCTTAAATTGTGGTTTCCTGCATAGACTCTGTTCACAAATTTGGAATAGAAAATTAAAAAAAATATATATATAGTTAATTAGGAGTCATTGTGTTTCTGAGCTTATCAAAAGGTATAGTACCTCAAGCTTTAGAAGTGACTGTTCTTTATGAAATAGCCTCAATTGGAAAGTAAATATAGAAACTTGCTTCTGTGAAGAACGAAGAAAACCTTTAACTGTTTATATAAAAATGAAACCTCTAAGAGAAATCCTAAACTTTCTCTACTTCAGTGAATACTAAAGATTTTTTTTTATGTATGTGTGAAGAAACACTGAAGTTAAAGTTATATTAATGTTCTTTAAAATTTTGTATTCTTGGTTATATGAGTACTATATCCTCAGCTTATGGTTGAGGCTTTTGTACTTAATTATGATTCAGAAGGAGAATAAAAGGGCTTAAAATTTTAGGTCTCCTGCCTGGGACCAAATTCCTTTCTACCTATATTCAGAACTGATTTCTGAGAACATGTTTGAATTTTCATTACTTTGTGCTGGGAAATACTAGTGACTTAATATTAACTTCTCAGGAGTTTTGTACATAGGCTTTTGTGTGGGTCTGGGAGCAGAGCCTCATGTTTTGATCACATTAACTTTACCAAGTATGTATTTTTGCTGCTTTGGAATTTCTCTTTTCTTTCTTTCTTTCTTTTTTTTTTTTTTGGGTCCGGTCATGGGGCCTGAAGCTGGGCCTGGGCGCTGTCCCTCAGCTCTTCAGCTCAAGGCTAGCACTCTACCACTTGAGCCACAGCGCCACTTCCGGCTTTTTTCTTTTTGCTTATGTGGTGCTGAGGAATCGAACCCAGGGCCTCAGGCATGCAAGGCAAGCGCTCTACCACTGAGCCACCTTCCCAGCCCCTTGGAGTAGACTTTTAAGAATCCTAGACCAGACACATGGCTCAAGTAGTAAAGCTCAAGCTGTAAGCAGAAAGACAAATGAGAGTGTGAGGCCCTGAGTTCAAGTTATGATGCTGGTGAGCACACACACATACACACACACATACACACACACACTAACTTTTCCTATTCTCTACCAATCCATTCTGACACTGGTGGTGGTAAACTCTTCGCTGAGAAGTTAGTCATCATTGGGATTTTTCTAAAGCAACTTTCTTATACCAGACTCTGTTTGATTATTGAAGACTCCTCTTCTTCCAATACTCTCCTAACCCCTATTCCCCAACTCCCCTTTGGCTTTTTTTTTTTTTTGTACTGAAGATTGAACCCAGGACATTGCACTTGTTAGGAAAGTTTTTTTTGCCACTGAACTACATTCCAGCCCTCTCTCCTCTTTTATTTAATTAAAAAGAGTTAGTGAGTGATCTCAGTTAAAGCTCTTTCCTATATTTTGGAATCAGCTAGAGAAGGAAACGTTTTCTGTTTTTTAAAGTAGACAGTAATATGGTGATAGGAAGGAGAGGGGCCTAATAGGTTGATGATCTGGGCTTTATTTTGATTCAGTTTGTGGGCCTAGGGGAAAAAACATAACTTAAACACAGAAGCCAAAAAGATGGGTTTTGTTTTATTGTTTTGGCTGCATTGAGAATACAAACTGTCAGTACTGGAGGAGAAGGAGCAGCAGAAAGGAATTGATTTTTTTTTTCTGTTGCAGATCCAAGTATTGTTAACCATGTGTAACTGTAAAGTGACATACTTACAAATCAAACAGGAGTTGATTTGTTCACTCAATTAACAGTACCCCTAAGGTTTTTTGGTTTGGGTTTTTTTTTTTTTATTTTAAGTAAGTACAGAAAACTTCAGGGTAATGACAATAATTTCCTGATAAAAGTGGGTGATAGTAACCATGGCAACTGCTATCTCTGGCCTTATGGACAGTATGTTATATTGATGAAGCTTCAGATTCTTTGGTAGCCTGTCACTTTATGGTGAAATGTAGTAGCATGTGTTGCAGGTGATTTTTAGCTGGATTGTGTTAAATTTGTGTGCCAGCTTATCTTTCCTTGTTAGGAATTTCTTGGACTGTATTCCATAGCATGTTTGTGAAGGTGCTGTTGCCTGAAAATAACCCACCACCTGTGTTAGGCCTCCTGATGCAGATTGTACTTAGTTCTTGCAGAACCTAGGGGTGTGTTTAGGAACTGTATACACATAAATTACAGTTCAGATTTATCAGCTTGAGTTTGGGCATGTTTCTAGTAGCTTAAACATTTTTTTTTTCCAGAGAGGTCATTAAATGATTGAATTGGGCCTATTGTTTGAACATGTTTTTCTAAGTGTATGAATGTATGTATGTATGTAATTAGGAGTGAATATAGTGGTGAAGATAAATATTAAGAATTTGACAAGATGATCTTTAGTATTTTGCTTGCTTTTGTAAGAGTATATATAGGTATCACTGTAAAACTATTTCCTAATAGGTAGTACTAAAGTATGGGAAATGTTTGTTCATGAGAGATTTTTTTAAGAAAAAAATATTTTATATAATAAGTATTTGTGAGGGGAAGGCAGAGTGTGATAGAGGGGGGTAAGATCAATAGGATT